TGAATGAACCTTCCAGGCCCTTAAACCATCAGGCCTGTTTCCTCTAATATTGCTCTTTTCTCTACCTCTTCTAGCAATACTATATCATTTTTTAAGCTGAGATTAGCAAGTTGCAAACAGGACTCACCACAACTTTAAGCAATGGAGAAGTTATATTTTCTACTCTTTCATTCATTCCTCTGCCGGTGGTTTGACTTGCCTATATGGAGAGCACCCAGCAAGTGTGGCAATCATTCAGGTACAGACACGTGCATATGTCTAGATTTAAGATTATTTGTTCTATATGTGCATTTATTCTGCAAATATCAATTCTGAACATCCTTTGCCTTCATTTAGCTATTAAACATCACTTGTGTGATCCTGCTGCACCTCCTTGCAGAGAGATTTAGGTCCAATTAGCCCTTACAAATCTTCATTCTTCACAGCTTTAGTCAACTAACCATTCACATTCATTTTGAGAACTTCTATAAAAATGCTGAGCACCACAAATCCCAGAACAGTCTTTGGGACATCCTACTCTCTCTCCACTGTGTATCTGGCCACTTGTTCCTCTTAGTCATTCAATCCAGTGCTAACCAGAGAGTTAACCTCTTCATTTACACTATTAGAATTTGTTAAACTTTGCTTAGGGAACTTCTTGACAGCTTTTTGCAAACTGAAGTAGGAAGTATTTGAAATTTTACCTTCATCTAACACAATTCATCTTAAGGGAGTTGAAAGGAGTTTGAAGGACAGTCCTGCTCAAATGAGCAAAGAGGAAAAAAGCAATGCTGTAAACCATTTCAATGTATGGGTTGCTCCTCCCCTGCCCCGACCTCTGTAGATTATATCTATCCCAGCAGGTAGTGGAGAGCCTCAGGAATGTGCTTTTAAAGAGACATGGCAGGTACTGAGGTCCCCACACACACCCAGTGTGTGTTTGGGTGAGGGTTGCTTGGGACTACTGGGTGAATCTTGCCTGGATCCTTGGATGTACTGCCCATTAGTACTGGGAAGTAACAGGAATGGACCCCAGGCACACCCTTCCATTTAGTAATACCCAAAGGGACTCAGTTTTCAAGTTCCCAGACTGTTAGAAAACACAAAGTGAAGCACAATTAAGCTTTTGAAGTGCATCTTTCAGTCCTTCCTGCTTGTGCCTGATCTAAACAAAAACTCTAACGTAGATGCACTTACTGTAAAAAGAAGAAAAGATTTTCCTTCGATAATTCCTTCCTCTACTAATTATAAAGAGTGTCATTCCTTCCTCATAAAGTAAATCTGTACTTACTCCTTTAAACATTTGAAATCTGTAATTAATATCTTTTAGAACACACAAAAAAACACTAAGAGAAATGAAGAGCCAAAATTCTATGTATTAAACTAATATATTTCTTCACTGATGTCTTCTGAGGGGTTAAGCACAAAAGACAAAGAACAGCATCAAAGCTGCATTTAGAATAGTGTGGGTAAATGAAGGAACAGATGGAAAATCAAAATCTTGGTTTCTCTGGACCTGTTTCAAGTTCCAATACTGACAGCAAGTAGCTGGTCCACCTTTGTGAAACTTCTGTGCAAAACCAGATTCAACAGGTTTTGTGTATTTCTCACAATTTTTTATCAGTATGTTATTCTTAGAGAGCCAACATGTATTAATAGGAATGCAGAGTTTGGATAATTTTTCAAGGCCTCTGTGCCAAGATATTGCTGCAATGTAAAGCACAACCAACTTCAGCTCAGTGAGTCACTTCCACGCTCTCACCAGCAAGGGGCAGACAATGCATATTTTATTCGTGTTTTCACTTTTCCTCCTGTTTAACTTAGAACTTTCAAAGGTTTTGCAATAAATGGAGTCTGACAGTTTTAGTTTATTTTAGTAATAATCACAAGACAATCTTTTCTGCAAATACAATAAATGTTATCCAAGAGCAATTTGGAGCAATCAGTATTGATATTTATACCATGTGCGTTGATTGAAAAGCTCTTGGCTGTAAGAATGGAATATGAATCTATCCAGAATATTATGAATATCTCCTAGTGTTTGCTCGTGTGGGAGCTATAAAAGTGAGTTTATTGTAATTAGTGGAAAAACAGTTTTGCTACAAATTAAAAAGAGAAAAGAAAGTGATACCATTAGCTTCAGCAGTTTAGCTAACTTTTAATCTGTTCTTTGATGTTCTTCTGTTTATTAGGATACACTGCTCTTCAGCATTTCAAAGGAGCTTTTTTTCAGTCTGAGTGTGATTTTTGGAGTGTGCAAGAAAGACTTTCAAAAGGACAAAAGAATCCAATCAGTAACAATGAAAAAGAAGAAAAAACCCTGCTGCCAGCAGGCCAGCACTATATGGAATATTAAACTTCACATCCTTTCCCTTAAAACCATCAAAAACACCCTACTGAATCCAGAACTCCTTAAGTGGAACACACTTTGTTATCTCCTGGCATTGAATAATTAAAGGGTTTATTGCACAGGCAGTGGAGGAAGTGGGGAAGTTTATCTTCCCTTGCTACATCACCTCCTCTGCCTTTCACAACTGTCTTTGTTGGATTGTTGGACAGGCTGCTCCTGCTTCCAGCTGAAGTTCTGCTCCATGGCCTGATATTCTCTCCTAAACAAACCATTAATTTACCGTTTTGCATGTGTGCAGAGTTTTCATATGTGTTTCAGAAAGAAAACTCCTGACTAGACCTTACACTGCTGGACACAAAATGTAGAACTCAATATGTAGATTTATTCATAGAGGAAACTATGGATTGAAGAACTCTAAAAAAGTACCTTAGGTTATTCATCCTACAGAAAAAAAACAACCTTAGAAGTCATTGCAGCCAAGAAATTTAAAAGTAATTTAAGAATTCTGCTTCTGGCACAGCACTAATACTCTTCATGCACACACACAGACACCTTATTCATTAGATGATTCTTTTTGTGGAGAACTATTTTGTGGCCTAGCAAGAGTCCAAAAGATCAGATGTATCTGTGTGACACCACTGAGAAATCTGCATGAATAATGTCTGTGTAGAAGGATCCTTAATGGGCAAGTAGCAGAACATGGAGCACAGAAAGACTTATAATGTTTCACTGAGGACAGGCAGAGAAGTTGTCATCCACTGAGAAAACATTCCTCTCTGGGCATTCAGGAGAAAGGGCAATGAGGAAGAGGAGCTCCAGATCTAGCCTAGGTCTCTCCTGACACTGAAATTATAATTACTTTTACAGGTCATTCTAACAGATCCTCAGCTGACAGACAGTCATGTTTGATCATTGTCCAACAGTGCTTTTACTCCAGATATTACTTGCAAGGATTTGCAATGGGCTATTACTCCAAGAATGCAAGAGATCATTCCTGTAAATCAACATGTCAGATGATGATAAAGGGACTCCTGCAGACTCACACTGCCTGTTTGTAGAAACAGGAACAGTTTGTAGGAACTTTTGGAGTGCATAGAAATATTAGCAATCTTTCTGATGCAGATTCTTGTTTGTCTGATCATTCACATGATCTTTTATAAACATTCACAACAAAGTTCTGATCCTCACACAGTGCAAAAGGACATTTTTAAGTCCCACTGATCAGACAAAGGTATTAGGATAAGGTGCTATTAAGTTCAATCTTCTGAAGTCAGTGGTTTATTGCTTTTCATTAAGGAAAGGAGAACAGGAAAACTCTGCTTACATCATTGCAAAAGTTTTTCTGCTTCTAGACTTAGTGACATTTTAAGACATGCAAGCTCTATTTTATTCACAAAGAGTAATACTTACTTCCTTGGCAATGACAGGAAATAAAGCAATTAGATAAATCATTTTCTAAGTCAACACTGGTGTCTCAGCATAATTCAAGTTTGGCTCACCAATATACACAATGCTAAGGCATTTGGAAATCTGCAGTCCCATGTGAAAATATTAATTTATATTTTAAATTGCTAACTGCTTACCCATCCTAACAATATTAATATTAACAGTGTGACATTAACTCTCTGCTGAATTTGAGATGTAGGTCAGTTATACACGCAGTTGCCAAACTATAGTTGGAAAACATTACTTCATCAAAGAATTAGCCTTGGTACAACAGTGAATAGCAGAGCCACATGTCCTAATACATATCAGCCTGGCGCCACTATTGTATGCAGAGCTATTTGCATATATATATTTCTATCACTACCCTGGTTCAGAATCAACACCCTTCTGATATCACTTCCCAGCAGCACAAATGTGAGCAGCACACTGCCTGCTCTGAGGCCTCTCTTTGTGCTCAGTTGCAACGTTTGTGATTATTAGCACTTTCACACATCATCTTCACAAAAGGCTGAGCTCAGCTTATTTAATATTTGACCCAATATTGCTGCTGTGAGTTAAATCTTCCACTTCGAACTTCACAGACAGCAAGGATGAGCTTAAAAAGAAAATAGCTACCTTTGCAACAAAGGACTAGAAAATAAAATGAAGTCGTGAACTGCTTAATGCATGTAACTTCTGATTAGCATTAAAACTCCTCTACAGATGTTGAGCTAGAAAATATCTGTATGCTCTCATAGCTCGGCACTTTTCTTTGTTTCCTTGCTGCAGCTGCAGACTGATGGCTCTAAAAGGTAAGTTTACTTCACTGTCAGGTTTTAAGTTCTATTAAGCTACGGCTGGAGATTTCATTTTCAGTTTTAACAATAGTCTAGACATATGTGCATCTCAAACAGGGATAAGGAAAGTTCTCTGATGAGCAAGTCAGCTGGTCATGCTTGCTATTGCAGCAAGATAGCCCTGCAGTCTGGTAGGCTCTAAGCTCTGTAGTGGAGCCCTAGATCACTTCCTGGAAAGAAAAGCACTTTTAAAGGAAACTCTGAACACATAAGTGTGTGTATAAATTGAAGTGACAGGCAGAAAAGAAATAGGGCTGGTGTGGGTGACATGCCTAATAAAAAAGGACCATGATCAATGATTTTCTGCCTTCAGTGGTAATTTATTTCAAGGTATAAGTTAAACTTGTGATTCCAACATTACAGGGAATGTCAGTGCACTTCTTGCTTACCTTTCACTGGACATTCAATCATAATATTTGCTCCAATTCTTGCCACGATTGTACTTCCAACAACTGCCGAGAAACTGCTGCCTTCCAGATTTGTCACATTCAACACAGAGGACAAGATGACAGGCATCTCTTTGAAATTAAAGGGATAATAAGTTTTAAAAGCTTTATTTGACTTTTAAACATAGATCCTGTATTTAAATTCATCATATTTGGAACAGTATTCAGTTTGCAAAGCAGCAGCCAGAAAATACAGGTGGTATAGATACAGACACATGGAGTTCACACCTGCTGTGGTTTTAGAGCAACAAGACCATCTTATTCATGCCTATTAAATCAGTCAGAGTTACATGAGTTGCCAGTAAAAGAAACTATTTCACATTGTTGTGGGGATGGGTGCTTATATACATATTTATAGATACACACATACATGTGTGTACATATCTATAAAACCCTGATTCTCTGGATGCTGCAGTCTTACCTGCTCTCAATAGCAATGATGTTTCCATATCAAAACCAAAGTCATTACCAGCCAGGCATCCATATGTACCAAGTTCCTTTTGAGTAGGATTCTGAATCTGGACTTTTCCAACCGTGTCCAGGATCACCCTGCAGAATATTCAAGGAAAGGCAAGGGTTACTACTCTGGGACAAACCCAGCGGAATCTTCTTGCAAGAAGGTACAGCTAGAAGAGCAAAACTCCTGTTTAGTTTACCGTGCCAGGGCAGTGCATGGAGTAACAGATCTGCCTCCTCTTTGGTGAGAGAAGGAGAGTGCTAAGGGAAACATACAAGGAAGATTCTTCAGATCTCCTTCTTCTACAGAGCTGTGAACTAGTTGCAGCCCTTTGGAGGAGAGTGTGTTTGCTACTACAAACCAGAATCCCATAGGAACAACAGCATGAATATATATCAGAATACCACAATTAAAACTATTAGGCTTGGCAAGAAATCCATCTCTCCAGAGCAAGCTTGGTTTTCAGCACGATTGGGGAATTCACAAGTGTACGGTCTAATATGACTACCAAATTACTGTGGGGTTGGGTTTGTTGGTTTTTTAAAATATCATCGTCATTGAAGCTAAAATCTTCCACCAAAACCTGTGTGTTGAATACCTTGTTTGTCCTCTGAGGGGCAAGATATTAGAGAGAGCATCACAGGGGAAGAGGCAGAAAAGAGCAACTTTTTACCCTTGTTACTGTTCTCAGTGCTAAGTAACATGACTCGCCATCATTGTGTCCTGAAAACCTGTAAAACTCTGGTGTTTTCCACACCAAATACACTTACAAAAAGAGATTCACAAAAAATATTAAAAATACTTGTGTCTGAACAAAACAAGCCACATCGTGCATGGCTCAAGTACATCCTCCTCTACAAACCTGACAGCTAAACAGTCACTTACCTCCTGACACTCTTCCAGATGCAACACTATTAATGTCACTGGCTTTTGAGTCCACACACATATATGTGAATTTGTGCATAAGATACCTTACTGGGAAAAAATTAGGCAATGAAACTACTTTGCTAATATAGGCCTTAAGTGCAAGAACATCAGTCTGGGCTAAAATTAGGAAGCAAACATACTCATGAATAAATAAAACACCATCATGTCCAAAAAAATGAAAGTATCGCTTGCAACAAATTAATGGAAAATTACGCGTATTTCACAAAATAAACATAACTGGTGGGAGCTACATGGTTCCAAAAACATTTGCACTTTTCAAAATGGCTTAGTTTTGGTGTCTTTGCTTTAATTGATTGCCCTGCAGAAGTTTATTTTTCTTGGCAGTGCATTTAATCAGTTAAGTATGTTGAGAAATATCCAAAAGCGCCTTTATCATTTCGGAATCGTTTTTTTTTTCACTACTCAAGAGCTAGCTATAATTCCAAGGGGCTCACACACAAAGTTAATGTTAATATTATCAGGTGAGCTTCTAATTTATCAGCAATGAAGTAGAAGTATTTGCTCAGTCTTGAGCAAATATCTGACAATAACACACTCTTGCTGTACTTGTTCTTCAGGTATAGCTCTCAAATGTGATGGCAATACAGGTGCTTTATTATTTTGCACTTCACTGTCCTCAACAGAAATGTTCTAAAGTACTGGAAAAAAATCCATAAAAGCTCATTTTTTTTCTTTTTCAATTGAAGTTATGCAGCTCCAGTTATACCTAAATATTTACCGTGTTGAAGGATGTTGAGAGTACCAGTGATATTTTCCCTTCTTAAAATGTGTAAGAGCTAAGACTTCTTTTCATCTATGCCATGACAGATGTTTTTAATGTGTTCCCACTGTATTTGGTATCTGAAGGAATCCAATAGGCTTCCTAATTCAAGTATAAATCTGCTCTTTTTCTGACCCAGCTGAAACGATTCAGGCAGATCACAAAATACAGTCAGGACATCCAAAAAACTTCACCTTGTTAAAAAAGTCAGTCCTCCCACATAGTATCATGGAAATGGACAAACACTTGGATGTCAGAAAAGCCAAACAATGTGACAGACACTTGAAAGAATAAAAATAAATTACTCAACTAAAAAGATAGAAGGCTTATCTCATTTTTACAACAGTATGTTCTAATATTGCACAGCAGGGTGGATTTTTACACTCAATAGTGACATAGTAAGTCATTCAAAAGTAAAAGAGAAGCTATTTACTTACTTCTCAGAGGCTTTTAATGTTTCGCCATCTTTTGTCCAAGTATATTTCACTTCACTAATACCAGCTGTTTCGCACAGTAGATTGACAGCCTGAGTATTCTTGGTCAGAAAAACTGTATTTCCAATCCGTACAGTTATTGTTTTGTTGAAGGAAACTCGAGGAATTTCCTTTTGCCTCATAATAACTGGAACCTTCTGGTCAAACATTAACTTATCAACGGTTTTTGTGCTGAAACGTTCAGATTCGTTTGGTGATTTGCCTGTGAGTTTTGAGGCAAGTTTCTCATCCTGGGCCCCCTTCCATTTTTCAGTAGTTGGTTGTGGAGGCCTAGATAATTCGGCAATCAGCTGGTAAATGACCTGAGATGCCAAGTCATCACTGACTTCTCCAGTTTCAATGAGCTGACTCATGTTCCTTATGAGTTCCTCAAACTGCACGGTGTCCATGCTGTAGGCTCCTTGGAGAACTGCTGCCTCCAGGCGTTTGTTCTTGAACTCACGAGAGCTGAAGTCTTCTGCTGAATTACTCCCAAAGCTTTCAAGATTTCGCAGGAATGGCTGATCACTTACTTGCCTGTCACCCAGGTAGAGCTCATTCTTCTTACTCCACATTTGCCACATTTTGCTCATTTTATGCCATTTGGCCCCAAAGCTGTTGGCCTCATTGTGATCTGTGTTGCTGGTCTCACTGGCATGTTTTCTAAGGGTTGGTGGTTCTATCAGTCTGTTGTCAGTACCAATGAGTTTGAGCACAAATGTTTCATGCACTGGGCCTGCAATACACCTGTACACACCGATGTCTGTAGCTTCGAGACAGTGGATTTTCAGTGAGCCTGACTTAGTGATGCCAAGCCTTTTGGAGTTTTGTAAGTGTTGTCCATCCTTCTCCCAACGGATGAGGGATTTCTGGAACCTTCGTACAGGGCACTTAATTACAACAGATGTTTTTGGAAGCAAGTAGGCTCGGCTTCCTATGGTGAAATTAATGCGCTTCTCTCGCCTCGTTTGAATATAGACTCGGTGAATGCTGACAATCTGAGGTCCATGGGCAGAAAACTTTCCTGGAAGCTTGGGTTTAATCTCTGCAAGAAACCAAAGTGTTGAAAAGTATCTAATCACTGGCAGTCATGCTTACAAAATCTGCTTTTCACAGAATGCTTGACAGAGCCTTTCCTGACTTTGTTCAAGTTAGACTGCAACACACAGAGCTTTTATCTGAGTCACAAAAATGCAAAAATATGAACAACATGAAACCATAACATTCCCCTGCTCCAGCCAAGAATTCTATTGTTTCTTGCCCAAATCTCCTAACAATAAAAGGATACAGGCAACATATACCTATATGAAGGACATAGGTGGTGCACACATATATAAAGGTGCATATACATGCAATATATAATATAATATTCTCTATATATGATCCTATTATGGTGATATTTCCTACATATTTCCTATTGCTGCCTCAGAAGGACTAGGCACAATGAGAATGAAAAAACTGAATCAAAAAAATGTGAACACATTAACACTTTCCCCACATTTGAGCACTGTTGAGTGCAGAATGACCTAAATAAAACAAAACCTATCCAAGAAGTAAGGCTCCCCTGGACTGCTATTTAAATTGCTGGCTGGCCCTGCTGGTTGCCTGACTGAGTCAAGCCAAACTGATAGCAAGGCAGGAGGTGAAAGGCACAGTCAGTGAAGACACAGTACATGCAACAGGCAAAGCCACCCTGTACTCATTGGCTGAGGGTAATTTCTTTGGGTTGAAAGATGAGTTACTCACAGTGCTGTGCCAAGAAAGTAGGGAGGAAAGGGAGGAAAGAGAGAAATAAGGCAAAATTTTGAGAGGCTGAATATAGTAATCAGATGAATTGACAAAATCAGGCAATAGCAGCATAAGGCTTCGTGCAGGCTGGGTATGGAGACAGTGGGTGTTATGATGCTCCTCCAGTGCTGTACCCCAAGCTCCTGGATGCTGGAAGGTTTCTAGGGAGCTGCCCCAATGAATACCACCACAGGCAGCTTTCCCAGCAGTGGCTGGGTAGGCACACTGGAGACTGCAATGTTTTGGATACCACTGTGCTGACTCACTGCTGGCAACCCCCGTGCCCTGCTTTGATCAGCAGAACTAATCTGAGAGCTCTGGGTAGGTGAGGAACAAAGCACTGCAGGAGGAGGTGTGGAGTAAGGGCATGGAGCCTTGAGTTCTTCCATGCAAGGTGAAATTGGCCAGAAGAGAAGAGTCAGGAAACACTGATGTTGGTGCTAGTAAAACAACCCAATTGTGTTTGGTGCCCCAGACTGTTGGCATGTGACAGAGAGACAACTCAGAGCCTGCAGAACAAGCAGATTAGCCAGGAAATGGACACACAGATCAAAACACTTCTCAGCAAGCCTGAGTCTGAAATCAGTACTACTATTCCACTTGGTAGGTGCTTAAATAAAAAGACAACTACACTGATGGCACACAAATGATATTGGGAAAGCTGCATGCTTATTATATACATGTGCTTCAAATATGCTGTGAAGAAATAGGTGAAAAGCTAAATGCTTCAAGCATGCAATAAGTGTGTACACATCAGGAACTACACCCTAGAGTGCATTCTTATGCTTATAAAACAAAATGGTTATTTTCAATGTTTTGGGTAATGAGTTCAGACCTGTGGGGATATCATGGTTTCATAATTGCACTGCTTTTAAATGGGGATTCGTTATCCAGATACATGGTTCCCTCAGCCATTTCACGTGGTACAACAAATAAATTGTTTTAGGCCCTCAGTTTACTAAAATTATTAAAGTAGCCTCCTGTTTTTAATAAGTTATTGGGCCCCAAATATTTATTTTCAGGGAAGCATTCCAGTATTAAATCTTCCATTTCCAAAATCCAGCTTACAGACACAGTAAGTGTAACTTTAAACACTCAAATTAAAATACTTCAGGCTGTGGTCTGTTTACACTAGTTATTCCAACATGGAATTAAACCCAGTGCATACTTATAAATATGTTAACAAGTCTCATCCATTTCATTTTTGACAAAAAGACAGACCACTAACTCTCATTAGCAGCTCAACACTAAAGGGTGTGTGTACTTTTACTGGTGGCTGGTGAACAAGGCTTGGAGTGAAACAAAGTTCAGGGCATGGCAGGCCATATAAATATATAAGGTCATATGAATGTATGAGGCCACATATGTATGTGTTCTCTGGAACTTTAGGGTCATCCAATCTTGCAGCTGCTGAGGTAACAGACTGGGAGAGCAAAGGTATATCTTGCTTAAGGAATATATCTTATTATCACTTGATACAAATCCATCTGTGTCTGTGACCTCTAATGGCTCTCAACAGCTTCACCTGGGTCTCAGGTCCTGGTGACCTCAGGGCTAGACGGGTGTTATTTCCTATTTCTCAGAGCCCAGAGTCTGGAATGTTTCTGCTTAATAAGCACTATTCAGTCAGAAAACACCTACAATTACTAGCCTCAGGGTAAAAGTTTAAGTCTACAATGACTGAGCACTGTCATGAGACAGTAGAACAGAAGGCACTCGTGAGCCCAGAAGCATCATCTCAAGGGGGCACATTCTGAAACTGCTCTGAAAGTCAAGAATCCCCAACAGCACACACAGCACACTGCTCTTCACCCAGTCTGTGTCACTCCTTGTGGAGCTCACTGCCTGCCCATCCTACAGCCATGCTGAGTTCCTGCCTTCTACTCACTCCCTCCTCAAGGCACCTTGAACCCATATCTGCAGGAGGAGCAGATGCCTCCTGCCTGTTCCTGTAAATCCAAACCCTGCTGCTCCTGCCCTGGCTCCTTCTGCAAGAACCAAACCAGAACTATGGGTACAGACATGCCTGACACCTTCCCTTGCCCTCCTGCTGCACAGGAGGAGAATTGCCAGGCAGACCTGAGCTGCAAGGGCAAGGGCTAACTTGCTCCAAAGGGTTGTGGAGATGGACAGTGGAGAGGACAGTGATGCTCTTTATGACTTTGATCTGCACCCATTTGTCCAAAGGCATTCCCTTTGCAGTCCACTGTCCTGATCTCTTGGCACTGTGCTGGAAGTTGACATTGTAACTTTAATATCAGTCTGAGCTAAGCAATTTGCAACCCAGCTACACTGCCATTCAACTATCCACAATTAATTAAATTCAGATAGATACGCAGCTCAAAATATTTTATTAAACTTTATGCCAAGGACATTCCTGGAAGTCCACAGGGCTTTATTTAAGTGGAGTTTTGAACCTCAGGATTTTGGCATGTTAATCTGAAACGCAGGCCAGGAAAAGAAGTTTCATATTATGTATGAATCAGTAATTATTCTATTTCTTATTTTGTTTCATGAATAATTTTTAAAGCAAATGTATAAAGTAGCTATTTCTTGACAGCACCCATGAGGTGGGTCAAAACATGTCTATCTCTGAGCTTTGATCAAAGCCAGGCCATTTGTGAAGGCTTTTGGTTTTCCCTCAGCTCAAAACTAAAAGCTCTCCTTCCCTTTCTTTTCAGCACCCTGATCCTCAAACCTGCAAACTAATACTCCTTCATAAGGAAGGGAAGTACAGGTTCAGACATAAGGAACCTGCATTTAGAACTCCTATTCTGAATTAGTGGATGTAATTGAACATACTGTGTATCAGTGAGGTATTCCCATCACTGTTACACACGTGTAGTTAGTGCAACTTCCATCACTATCATAACCTAACTGTGCTCAAATTATGCAATTCCTATGGACAATCTTTCTGAAAAGATTCTGATATAGAGGGTAACAAAATATTGGATGTTTTGAGAACTGCCTGTATTGTCATCAGTTCATCAGCTTGTGAGACTGGGATTCTAATTTCTACAAGGAAAGATAGAAATTATACCTAAAATTATCACTGGCACAGAGTTTCAGGTTTTGAATTCCACCATGCTAAGCAAAATGTCCAGTGTAATACAAACGTACAGTGAAAAGACAAGGCAGAACTGGATTCTTATCTTTTCTAATGTCCTTTGTAATTTATAGTCAGTTTATGGATTTTTGCTCCCCAGCTGGGGCAGTGTAAAGGATAAAGTAAAAATCAGATCAAATCTTGGTAAGTATGAGGGTGAGAGGTATATACCTCAACATGTATTCAAAATCTACTTCTTGAGATCATAACCTTTGTGTCTGAATGGCAGGAGAAAAAAAACAACCATCCTGTTATTACTGGTCTAGCAATTATGACACTCAGTTTGTTCCAGATTAGTAATGCTGTGAAAGTATAGTGAGATGAGCGAATTAAAGTGTGTACAGATTTCTCTTTACAAATAGATCATTCCAAATCAACAAGAAACTAGATAAAATAACCCACTTACTGTTGCAGGCATTCATCTGACAAGACCTTACAAGCAGTGAAGGAGAAAGACCACTACACATTGATCCATTTAATGTGACGTATTGGCCCTTTGCTGTTAGGTTTTGGCAGGCAAGTTTCCTTCTCTGGATTCCAACACCGCAGCTTACTGAGCACTGTGAAAGGAAGGATGCAGTCAAGCTAAACTTGGTGTCCCGCACCACATATCCTAATTTTAAACTAGCTTGTTCTGTTGTGGGTTTTTAAAATTATTTTTGTAAAATTTTTTTAGTTCTGAGAGACAGTGCACACACTCTACTTCATATGAAACCTTCTGTTATCTAGTTATTAAAATCCCTCCACTTTTGCATATAAGAATATAAGAGAGAATTTTTCTGGCAAACAGGAATTAAAATAACACAGCAGTACTTCTATATGTCCAACCATGTGTAGAACAGAGCAATGAGATCTTGTATGTGAGAGAAACAATTCAGCAGGTTCTAAACAGTCTTTGTCAAGTCTCTCAGCCCTCTCTCCTAGTTTGTATTGTGTGAAGCTTTAAGTGCAGCTTCTAAATTTAATTTTTTAAATCTTTTTGGGCAGAGAGCAGTAGTGAGCTTGCATTAAATGGGAAAGAAGGAGCACGTATTCCAGAATAATGCAAGGATTTGCTTTTTGGAAGCTATACCACGAAATGATTGGTAGCTAAACATGTCTGGTAGAATGCATGTGACACATGACAGCCTGTCCTTCAGCAACTGAAACACTGCTCAGGAAGGGGGTGTGATCAGTGTGGCTGCAGGCAGGGATAAACAACCACTGTATGCAGAGTTTAGTCCAGGTACATGTCTTGTGAAAGCTTCAGCTGCCTTGTCAATTATTGCTCTAAACAGCTTATTCACCCAAACAGAAATCTTTAGGCTCACGTTGCAATTAAGGGTTTTGGTTCACCATTGTTGAGGTTTGCTCACCTTGGACCATTCTCCAAAGACCAGCTGAGGAGGACAATCAACTTTAGCACATGGCTTACTAGATGGCAATTTAGGTTCCTGGCAGGTGTCATCAGAGTGTTTCAGGAAACTTCCATCTGTCAACAGCTGCTTACAGTACACTTTGCGGGTCTGAATGCCTCCACCACAAGTACGGGAGCACTAAGGAGAAAACACAGCACATACACCTGCATGGACATCTGTGCTCACCATCACATGCTATTGTACACAAAGTTCCACCCTTTACCCCTTGAAAAATGACATCTGCTTTCAATTAAAAATCAAACAGTACAGAAAGTTCTTCTGTTAAAATACTGAATATATTAGAGATGTTGAGAACTTGAGTTCAAAAGTTAAACATATTATCTGAAGTAGTAGTAGAAGAAGATGAAATCTGAAAGAACATGCACCTTACACATAGATCTGCCTATGTTCCTCACCAGTGAATACATCTGGTGGGAGCTTAGGAAACAGTCCTTGAGACAAAAGAAAGCAAATGATGAAGAGCAGGTTATTGTGTCTGCAGAGCACAGAGAGAGGCGATGTCTGGAGTAACTGGTGTGCAGACTTCTGAAATCTTAGAAAGGACTTACACCACATCCTGTGATTACCCATTGGCACAGTAATCAAAAGCATTGTTTCTGACCCTGGGTTAGTTTGTTCTAATGACATCAGTCAAAACACTTGCCTACAGAAGTTTGGGAACTACGTTCTGTGCTAGACCCTCCCTGCCTGGAGGAACTAATTTAAACTACTTCTGTAACCCAGTCATACCTGTTGCCATTCCTCAGCGTGCCAAACAGGGGGACAATCGATCTGGTTACAGGCTTGTAAAGAATGAGGCTTTTGGTCCTTGCACTCTTCAGCAGCAACAGCAGATCCTCCAGGCTGCTGGCAGGACACATCTCTCGTCTGTATCCCAACCCCACAGGTAGCTGAGCAGCGTCTCCAGGGGCCACTTTGCCACCTGTTCCAACAACACAGTCAAAAGTTCACCTTTTAGCAACCCACCTCAGACTCGGAAGGAGCAATCATACCCAAACAGAGCCTAGCAAAAAACACAACTGCAGGTATAGGTATTGATCAATGGCTGAAACACTCCTTTGGTTTGGCTGTAATGCAAAATTATAAACTAGATTTATAAATTTGCAGGTAACAAGCAACTGCACAAGTTACTTACAGTAAAGTAATAAAGAGCAAATTTCAGACAAATTTAACCCCAGCATTTACCTTCAGAGTGCTCCTCTTAAAAAGCAGCCTGTTGGCAACCTGCTAGTGCTTACATTTATAAATGTAAATATGTAAATAGCTCTTTCTTATATTTACAAAACTTCCTTTAAATGTGTATATGTTTTCTATAAAACATCCTGTTCCTGTTAACTTCTTCCCTACATTTAGTAAGAGCAGGTTTCTGCAAACACATAGAAACAATATGCAAAGGATCAGGGATGTCAGAGATCAAAAGGGTGTAAATAAGGCAGCACATGTCAAAATTCCACATGTGGCTCTTTCAAATGACCAAATGAGCTAGAGGTTTTCTTGGATTTGGACTGGGTTTCTTCTTTACCCAGAATCTCCAAATGGACATAAGAAGTCATAAGAACTATGTGGGGCTACTAAAGAAGCATGAAATTAAAGTACCTTTAATCCATAATTTCTTTTTTTTTTCATTCAGTAAGGTTGGAAAGTAAATATTCTCTGGTTTTTGGTGAAAATTTTCCTTGTACCACTAGAAGAGTTAAGGCTCTTTTTCCAACTCTGGCAAATATTCAACATGGAAGAGATTTATTTCAGAAAATGTCCCCTATTTTATTAGTGAGATGTGAAGAGTGGAAAAGGAGTGAACAAGACCAAAAAAACACCCCAACCCCAAAACCTTGTTAAAAACAAAAGTAGTGAAATTTCATCCCAAAGCATGACCACAGTCCTGCAATGTGAACCCTTTCTGAGAAAGCCAATGTTTATTTAAATCATGTTAACCCTTTCTTTGCCATGCCATGATTTCATTATTGCACTATACCTTGGGGGGCAAAGCTTCACGTTGCAAGTCCGAGTCATCGGTGGTGGTCTCTTGGAATTGTCACACAGGGTTTCATTGACACCTTGTTTTGTCTCTACATGCAGACACATTGCAATGGCTTCCTGTGTTCCTGAATGGCAAAGGAATACACTCATGAAACCCTGAAGATGGGAGAGATTTCTGTAAAGCATGGTCTTGTATAAAGCTCAGTAGAAAAGCTCTGAACAGTGAATTAGATAGCAGCTTAAAAGTAACATCTGAAGTGAAAAAGAACACAGAGATGGTTTACATATTTAATGCTCAAAAGATACTTGTGAATTTTATCTAGAACTTTACTTCTGTGATATTTAAAAGGCTTGATTTGATATTCTATTTCTCTGAAAACCAAAGAAGCTATTGGAGGTTACAGCTGCTGGTTCTGTAGTGGTCCTAAGTCAGCTACTTTCATTGCCAAAATCAGGGTAAAAGTGATTCCCTCTCACTTACCTTGCCTTTAAGGAGCTAAAGATCTGCAAAAAATATAATAACAAATGGAGAAAACTTGCAGAACTATAGTTAGGAGAAAGGTTCTATGTTTAGTCAGCCATTCTCACAGGGGCCAAGAGGTGCAATAGTTTTGCTGAAGGCAGCAAATCTGACCCAGCCTAGAGCTTTCCTCATTCGTGACCGTTCTTGGCACCTTCTGATCTGCAGCTCTTGCTACCTGGATCTTATTACTGAAGCATGAAAGATTACTAAGACTCAAATTTCTATGAGTCAAAATGAAACGTAATATAAGTTTCCTTTAGAACAAGTCAGCTTAATGAATACACATTTTGTGAACTACTTCTATTTTAAACCGATGCAATTATCCAATTTTATATATCGTATTTTTTAGTATGAAAGCCTTGCTCAATTTCAAAGCTCACTTGCATGCACATGAAATGGTTGTGATGTGCTTGGGGGATTCTGTGAATCTGGGATGTTCTATATAAGCAATGCTATTGATCATAATGCTATAGAACAAAAAAGGCACAGAAATAATAAATTATCTATTGTGTTGTTTCTGGGTAAAAATGACTCTCGAAGAGTTACAGTTTGATAGAATTTAAATCCATTTCCTTCTTATCTTTCACTTACCTTCAGTCATTTTACAAGGATATGAACTTGTTTAAGCAGCAGGTTATGTTTCTTTTCTTATAACCAACTCCTAAGGTTTCAAAGAGACCTGCATTTTTAACTGGAAATCTTCACTAACCACTTCATGGTATCACCTATGACAGTACCTCCAAACATTACCACTATTGCTACACAACTATACCTGCTTCTGTGTCAAATGTGTACAATGACTGGTTTCTTGGCACTGGGGACCATCAGCAATTCTGATTTCAGTGGGCTCCACTTTACACTGAAAATTGCACCCCATAGCAATGCCCCACATTTCTCTCCTGTACATGAGCACTGTCATTCTTTTCATAAACTAAAGCTGCTCCTTCCGTCTGTAAACAATTCTGACCTAGTTCAGCATATCAGCCAGCCCAGGCCACAATCCTTCTCTGCAACACTTGAGACAGTCCAACTACTTGAGACACTTCAGCAGGGGTAAACCAGCAGCAATTTTCAGAATAACATAGATTCCAATTTCTTTCAGGCACTCTGCTACACCTCGAGACCCCCTCTGGGACTCATTTTCAGTTCAGAAAGATCTTGTTATATAAATGTTTTGACTACATCTACAAAGTGATGAATTTTTACAGAACAAAAGACCTGACCTTAAATATGATTGACAACCTATTCAGTTCTCTTGTATTAAAGTGTTGATAATTACATTAATGTAGAACACACACATTGTGGAAAAACTACTTTACTAGAGAGGCCGAGCATAAATATTTTACAACAAATACCATGACTATAACACAGACATGAAAATGCTCAAAGATGACAAACCAAGACTTTTTTTTTCTAGAACTCTACTCTATTGCAGATTGACAACTAGGAGAATCAAACATTTTCTGTCTCATGTATCCTCATGTGTTTGTATAACAGGAGCACATTCCCTTTTCCCTTAGATAGGAAATGCACATCTAACTGTCTACAGGAAAGAAGTAAGGAAACAGAAAGGCATTACCAGCCAGTCAAGCCCATGTCAAGCATCCATATAATCTCTGGTATAGGTCAAAATCTACCCTATGTTACCAGCCTTCAGCTCTGCTGACCTCACTGTGTTCCTGTGGGAAAACCACATCTGGAGGTGATGCAGCTCTCTGGAACAGGTTGCAATAGGTAGTATCCTCTTAGTATCTCACAAAGAAGATAAGGTAATGAAAAAGGATTCTTTTCAGACCATCTAAATTGACAATAATCCCATAGGAACTTTTTATCTTGGTGTTACATAAGCTAAATTGCCCATCCAAATGGATGAAAAGCATGTCATACCAGGTGATGGGGTTTTAACTGCAAATTGCTGCCAGGAGTTCATTAAGCCATTCCTGCCTTGCAGCACAGCCTATGTAGTTTTAATGGCATTACTGAGACAAAAACATCAATATGTGGTCTGTGTTTCATTTGAGTGAAGTACAGAGCACAAACTGCAGTAGCAATTCTTCCCCACAAGGGCCTTACTGAAAGAAAACTTGCACCCTGTTTTGATTCTGTAATTACAAAATAGATACTGAAGATTTGTTCAAAACATACCATGCACTCCCTTCATGTCCCTTGGTTCTCAGTTCAAGAACTCAGTTCAATAAATAGCTACACTTAATTGATATTATATTTGCTTGAACTTATCTGCCAAAATGTCTTCACAATTAATCAGATTTCTCACCCCAAAACTATAATTTTCCATTAGTTGGGAACTTCACTCGCTGATAAATATTGTACTCTATGTCAATTGGAAAATGGAAAAATCTATTATTCAAACAAGCAAAGTCTTACATGTATGACTTTCTTGGCTTATAATATAAACATAGTAGATAATTTAACTAAAACATTATGCATGCAGCAGGGAGCATTAAGTATTTTTACAGTAACCTGATGCACTATTGTAGTAATTACCCTACTATTCAGTGAAATAGAATATTTTCTATTTTAACCCAGAATTCAAACCACATACATTTACATTCTTTTACAATCTTTTCTGTGTGGTGAAATACACAGTGCATGAAGCTGTGTTAAAAGATCAAAATGCTTGAATTAAGCCCAGAATTTTTGTTTCTGCCTTTCTTGGAATATGAAGAAAACAGGGATGGAAGGTTGCTGTGCAAATGGTAAGAGGGTAGACCTATTCTCCATGTCTGGAAGAGGATGGAGAGTCATTTCTTTGTATCAGATAGTCTCAGTTTTGTGGCTGCTTAAAAATATGTACTATCTGCTGAAAATAATTCAGAAGAAATGCTGGGTCCTACTTATCCCTGAGCCACTCTGTAAGGCTATTTTATATTGCTGTGAAGAGTAAATAGCATCTGCAGTTAATGAAATTAGTGATACAAGTAACCAGTTATCAAATCAACTATAACATAAGTTGAGAGCAAATCTCTCAGCTTTATATGTGAGTCTCAAAACGGTCATTGTTTCTCTTAGAGCCCTTAAATTTGGCTAAAGTCCATTAATTTTCTAAGAATCTCAGGTTCCTCATAAATAAAACAGTAAACTTTTAGTCCTTATGGTCCAGACAAAATCCTGAAAACACAACTTGACTGCACCCTAAAGTTACCAAAGCCACAGTCTATAGAGGAAATAACAGGAAGGGCATGTGTTATTTATTGTTTAATCTCATTCATTTTAGGCCAATGTAATGACTTCAGGGGGCCCAAACAATAATTTTTGAAGCATATGGAATATAAATAATAATCATAATTACTTTTAACAACAAAAATCTGCCTCTTGCAATTAAAGGTATATTTAAACAAGAACCCAGAAAATGTTAAGCAATGTTTTAAAACGGAAAACATACCTTCAAAATATTTTTGAGTAGTTAAATGATTGACAACACTAAAGAAATACTACAGATTACAACAAAATAATTTCATGTCAGGCATAGTCTTTCTTATGATAACAACTGTTAGTTATCTACTGTAGACATTATGAGAATTAAATTTATGTTGGGGGCTTTTGCATTAGGGCCAAAGCTCTTCAGATTTAAAAGAAAACAAAAAGTAACAATCCCCCAAAAACATCCTGGGAAAATGAATGCAAAAACTCGGATCCCTGAGCAGACAGTTAGCTAATTTTCAGTTTGGGGTTTTTAAGGCACTGAAGAAAAAAACATATATTTAGCTTTCAGGATGGCTACAGAGCTTCCTATGGATATTAGAAGTGACATCTGCCCCATGACGAACAGGTCTTGACAACTTTTATTTGCACTCATGGAAAGACTGAGGAAAGAAGCATTAATTATGGTACCAGGCACAACACAATACAGGTGTTCTCAAAACTGCAAGTTGTATGGCACTCAATATGCACATGAGTTTGGTGCAGAAAGCACACGAGTGACCCAAGACTCGTATTACTAATGCTCTAGAACTGGAAAGATGATGCTTGATAATGCCTTGCAGATTGCTCACTGTAACTCTATTACTTGAAAACCCTTAATGTTTCCATCTGCATTTTTTTTCATCTGCTTTGCAGAGGGACCAGAGGAGATTTTGAATTACAAGTCTAGTCTGTATGAGGATTAAAAAAAAGGTGCAAGTGACAAGCTCTGAAGCAGAGATTCGGACCTTACTCAAACAGTGGCTATAAAGTTTCTAGTCTACTTAGACCCTGCAGACTTTTCCCTTCTTCAGAGAGAGTCAGGCACTAAGAAATGGGGGTAGGTGAGTTCTGAGGACACAGAAATCCACAGGAATTTATTTTAATAGCCACTGCTAGATACATACATACTAGAGAAAAAGTACCTAATATAATTTACATCACACTGGGATATTCCAAACTCAGGCAACATTTATTTCTTGCAACGAAAGAGTTCATCTAATTGAAATGAGATTTGAACATAAAACTTAGCAGAAATGGATCAGCTCCTTTGAACTACACAATGGAAAAATAGTAGACAGTGAGATCATTAGTTAGTATATTGCAATAAGTTGGAAACAGAAGAGATGTCTGGTTTCCTTAAAACTATTTATCGGCAGGTAATTTTTGGTCTGTTTGAAAGCCTTTGCCAAGGCAGCCAGAAGACCAGAACTGATAGAAGGAAAAAATCTCTGGTACCTAAGTAGCATAGCAGTATAGGGTCTACTGAAGCTGTTCATTGATAAAATACCCTGACAACTTCCCACATTTCCCAGGAGCATCACAGAAGGAAAATGTCTAGACACAGCACCAGTGATACCACAGAAGTCTTAAGAATTCAAACAGATATTGTCTTTCAGACTTCTACAAGTGGGTCACTTCTATTGCATATGAAATAAATGGTTAGATTGCTATGAACACCTATAAGAAAATTCTGGGTCAGGCAACCTCACAAACTCCTGAAAGGGTCGGAAGTCAACAACTGAATTCACACTTAGCTCCCCCAGGAACAAAATTAAGCTGAACATGAGATTCTGCTCATCAGTCACTTTGAAGTTCCTTCAAATGAAACTGCTGTGTTCAGAACAGGCTCCTTAGAGTACTGTCACGTTTTGATGTGGATGTTTTTGCATGGACAAACTCACACGTGAAGATGAAGGCAATGCAAACATGCACATGTGCAATAGCATGCAAAGACTAGAGATTATTATAGCCTAGATAGCTGCTGATGTCCTCAAAATTAAAAAAACTTTGGAGTTTTAGACCACCTCTGAAGAAGACATTACCTAAAAAGCAGTAAAGTGGTGGATTTAAGATGGCAATGAAACGATTGTATGTTGCAAAAATCAGTTGAGATATGAGAGAACTACAAGTTTAGAAGCAGTGAAAGCCTTATTTCTGCTTTACACTACAATGTCCTTATCTCTAAATACATTTCTCGCATTAAAATAAAGAAACAGAGACAGTCACAACAGCTGTCACTACCATCTCATGTTTATATATACATACTCAGACTACAGTCTCTCCTCCCATGCCAGTCATAATGTTCACTGCAGATAGTGGAGGGACTGGGATGTTTCACCTTTTGTGATCACATGTGCTGTTATTCCTATGGATCAATCCCCTCAGTAAAAAGAAGTAGTAAATGATAAAGGAGGCACTATCAGTCACTTACCATCCTGCTGATCCCATTCTGGGGCTTCCCTCCCAGCTCCTGTCTTCCAGGTTTGAACTGGTGAATATCACAAAGGAGGCTGCTGTCTGTGAGCTCTAGCTGGGTCTCTGCTTCCAATTGTTTCTGTTCTCCCCTTTCCTACATTTTTTATTTCTTCTATGGGTACAACTGTCTTCACTTCCCACTGATGTCAGCAGTCCTGTCACATATAGGTGTGTTCACAATTCCACTGCCTCCACTTAACACTTCATAACTCACTTGTGTTCAGTCCCAAAGTACAGTATGCAGTAGCAACACCAGCAACCTTGTCTAGTAGCATGTACTTAGGACGACAGGGAGATTCGATTACATCCGAAAAGGAATGTGCCTAACTACTTGCAGACAGATGTATGGCACAGAGTTCCTATGGAGTGATACAGTGCACCAAGAACTAAACAAACTCCTGTTTGATCTTCATGCTGGTCAGGCTGAAAGCAAGTCTCCCTAATTACAACTTTGTATTCCTACTGTACCGCAGAAAATGGCAGCATTTTACAAGATAAGGAATAGACATAGGAATTTTAGCTCTGAAACCATACACTTTCAGCTCTTAGCAAAAGAGAGGTCATCTAAACATTCCCACCACTGATGCATCAAACATGCTGGTACCATTGGCTGCCTATCAGCTGAAACTCCTGCAGCAGCAAGACAAAAGCAAGTTTCTGCATCAACTTCTTGCACCTTGCTTAACCAAATAAAGTCAGTGCTTAATGAAGGAAACAAAGTAGTTTGAAATAGTCTATGGGTAACCTAGAAATATGTTAAAGCTTGTAGCTGCATATTTTCCTACAGATCAACTGATCTACTTTGGGTTAACACTAGCAGAATACCCAACAATGTCAAACAATGCCAAATGATTACAACTCAGGATAAATAAATAAAGGTACCTCCAAGACATGTGGCTGAACAAGGAGTAAACCCAATGTATTCCCAGTCGTAAATCACACTGCCATCTTCAGCATGTGCAAATTCTGGTGTGGAGGGAACAGGGTCACTGTCACAGGACACCTGGTGACAGACTCGTTCTGTCGGTGGCTTCACATCTTCACATTCCTCCTCAGGCAGTTCAACCTCAGTCTGGGTAAACGCGAGAAGAATTCGGCACTTCACCTCTCGCACCTGTATGCCACTGCCACACGTGGCACTGCACGGAGACCAGGGCTCAGGAATAAATCTGCAAATAATCACCACACAGTACAAACACTGTCATTCTATTTCATGTCATCATGTCTGTGTGTGCACAGTTAAAACGCAGCTAACAAACAGAAATGTATGTTTATGCACAGAGCAAACAATACATACTACTATTTGATGCTCAAATAGGAGGCAGAGTCAAGTGTCTTAAGTCTTTCACTTGCCTCCCATCCCAGGCCATTTACCAAAATTCACAAGAAAAGATGTAGGAAAACAGGAGAAAGAATTATGAGGAACAGGGAAAGATGCATCCTTTTTTGAGGAAAAAGGACATCACCTAAATCTTTTCTCAATCTCCTTCAGTGGAAAAAAAAAGGAGAAACTCCATGAGATATATCTACACACTGTGAAATAGCTCCCCAGGTACACAGACTTGAGCATGTACCAGAAGTATATTTGCAGTCTGCTTAAATCTGAGAGGCACTTTCCTTATGCCATACTAATAATCAGCAGCTAGAGAGAAGAAAAACACTTTCAAATCTTGTTATCTCCAGTGCACACCACCACAGGCTGCTCTTCAGATTCAATCTTGTAAGCAGCCTCTCATCTTCAAAAAAGGTCTAACCAGCTTTGTCTCTAATCCATCCTTGTTATTAGAAAGCATTTATGATCCTGATGAACTAGAGTAAAATCTTATTTTACAGACCATGAATTTGTCATTATATTCTCTAACTTTGAGGGTCACATTAATATCTGATAGAAATTTTCAAAATGGCATTAGAGCCAAGGGGTTGAATTCAATTAATAAAGTCATCCTGGGAGGCTCTAAGGTATACTTTATAAGAAATCAAATACAGAGTTTCATAGGAGTTTGGGGTTTTATTCAAAAGGCTGTAGTTGCTCTTTATTATGTGTCCAAATGCAGCTGATGATCAAAACACCAAGAGATATAGGAAGATATATTTACCAATGCTAAAAATGTATTTGGGAGGAAAGATCTAAATTAGGACTCAAAGATTTTCCTTTTATCTTGGATTACAAATTATCTTTCCCTTACTGCTGCAAAACTGCCCTTAGAAATATAAGAACAGTTGTGTGAGACAGAAATCAGTATTTACACTCTGCGTACACAGTAAGCACAGAAAAATGTCAACAGTGTGGTTGATTCTGTGGACAGTTTATCATCCTGAGCCAATGACTTCTTGCCAGTATACACAGAGGAAGAATCAAATAGAAGAAAGGAGAACAGATGGGTGGATAACTTGTAAGGATACTCTAACTCAGTCCTTGAGATAGTCATTCAGGCTGTGCTTGGGACAGACACCAACACAGACTTTCTTCTGTAGAAAAGACTATTCCCATTTCCAATAGGGCTTACATGGTAAATGGTTATATTTTGGAGAGATGTTAATGAAATACCTTTACAAGTATTCTCTATTAGAAAGATAAATATATTAAAGTCCATCAAAGTTTTCTTAAACCGAGTCTCAGCATTTTCCTTAGCAGACTTCAGTAAAGGGTGCACAGTGCCCAGCTCCCCTTGACTCCAAGTGCTTATCACTTCACAAGTCTGACTACCTTCCAAGAAGATGATCAGGTGGAATTTTATTGGAACATACAATCAAAATGGTGGACAGCTGTGTCCTACAGGGATCAAACCTAAGCAAACGCTCTACTGGTACAACCTAACAGCCCACAGAGCCCGATGGCACAGCTTGTGGGAATCAATGTCCAGATGCTTCTGATAACATTCTAATGGAACATCTATGGGAAAAGCTGCAAAAAAAGGCTTTCTCTTACCCCACCAGCTAGAATCAGCTTACCCCTGAAACATCAGACCTCACAGTCTTTTCATAGACAGCCTAGCAAGCTACCTAGGGTGGCCATGGCAAAATCATCCTCACTCAACAGAACACTTAAGCATGTGCCTAACTTTAAGCATATTAGCTGTGCTTTGAAGTCAACAGGATGATAATGTGTTCAGAATGAAACTTGTGCTTAAGTGCTTTATTGGATCAAGGCCAGTGTGCATAGGCTTAATAAAATTATTTCTTTCTTCTCCTTCTGTGCAAAAAAAAAAAATTTAAGTCCATTTATAGTTGTGTACCTAACTGAAAAGATAAAGTTGATGGACATTTATAGGTGAAAAGAGTTGGTGTTCCGATGACATCTAACAGTTTACAGTCTGAAAGCTCTGCTGACATCTAACAGTTTACAGTCTGAAAGCAATAACTTCTTTTGGTAAAAGCATGACAGCAGCATACCAGAAATTAGTGTTAGTTTTGTGTACTGCTAGTTGAGTGCATTAAAATATTCCAAAAATAATGTATGATACATTCTTCTGAAAACCTGTATAAATTGAAGGAAATTTTGAGCCACAGCAATCCTTTCATTCAGCAACCAATTGGTTTATAAAGAAACTCAGAAAACTCTAACCATTTTTTGCTTTGACTTCTAAAAAGCCTATATTATAATTGTGGCTTTCCTGTTGAATATTGGTGTCTGGTATTTTTTCACTGAAATGCAAGATAAAAAAACCCTAACAAACAAAATACTTTTTATTCTCTCTTGGCATTTGATAAACTTGTCACGTGACTATTTACCAATAGAAATCCTAAACTATAGAACTTTTCCAGAGATATTTAAATCACATTAAATACCTTCAACAGAAGCCAATGGAGACTGCTGATACAAAATTGGAGAAAGGAACAGACTGGACAATGAGAGAGCTGAATTTTGGCTGAACTTAGAGTTCAGGCAGATTATGTTTTTATTTTTACTTCTTATTTAACATGTGAAAACAAAGCCTATGACAGGTCATCAAAGGAAACTCCATCAGCTTCAGAAGTAATGCATTTTTCACTCAGTGGCATTCATGGCATATACATGGCAATGCTTTGGACACAATACCTCCCTGAAGTGAACTCAGTCTGCCTTCAGTGGGCAAACACTCAGACTGAGCTCAGGCCAGGATTAAGAAGCATCAAAGTACTTGTACTACAAAGCCTTGTAGATCATCAGGAATTTATTATGTATAGGACAGTGGTAACTCTGAAAGTTTCATGAGACCTCTAACTAAGCTTGTAGATGAGCCTCCTTTTCTGAATTTTTTTTTTTAAAGAAAAGGAAAAGAATGGAAAAACGAAAATTTGAGCAGGTACAATTTTCAGAATCAGTCTTTCTGTACAGTCATTCTTCCCAGTGCAATGTAGGACTAAAAGCTCCTATACTCCTCTGTGCAGATATAAATAATGAACACACTAGAGATGCAGTGAAAGGTATGTCCATGCTGCAGTGCTATCAGTCTAACACTGATGGATATGTGCATTCCCCTGGCACACCCTGCAAAAGCCAGTGTAGGATGACCTGGGAAATGCAGCAGTGACCCAAACTATTAATGATAAAACCAGGAAAGAAAAGCTCAACTCAACCAAATCAATTCTGAACTGAAAAATGAACTCAGCACAACCCTCTACAGATTTCTAAAGACCTGGAAAACAAGGTGTCTCTTACTTTTTTTCTTTTATTTTCCACAGGCCTGTAGTTCTTGTTTTCAGCTAAGACAGGAAATGCCTAAATCTTGAAAAAAACCCCTCTGCTCTTGTGATATTTCCAGTCCAACCATAGTGCACCAAAGGGCCTGAGTAAAAGTTTGAAGAAGCATCTGAAATGTTGGCTGTTACTGGAACAGAACTGCCAGAATGCTGACACCACACCCTTGCCTGCTCTAGAGTCACACTGCTGGTTTTATCAACCTCAAGCGTAATGGCTTGGACAAAATCACCAGCCCATTTTCAGAGAAGGAGCTGTGAAAAATGGCTAATATTTCTGTGGGAACATTTCTGTGAAAATGACTCCAGTGCTACTAATGGGAACCTTTATGACAGACACAGCATTCCACATCCAGTGAGTGCAACTGCATCAGCTTAGTGATCACTTTTTAGCTCATACTGCTGCAAAAGCACATCAGTTTTTGAAAGCATTTTAGTTTTGTCCTAAGCCATGACAGGGAAAGGCAGTTGAGGTGTCTATTTCTTTAACTTATGGTTAATAAAAAGGATGCAAAACCTTGCAGAGTTCCTTTGCAAATCCCACTGTAACCAAGAAGGCTCAAGGGAAGAACGTTTAAAATAATGATTGGTATCAACTGTCATCACATTCCACAACTAAAAACTAAAAAGGTCAGACCTACATTTTTCTTGGCCTCACTTTAAGGACAGTCATTTTTTATTTTGCTAATAATAAAAAAAAAAAAAAGAAGCTTTTGAACATTCCCCCTCTATGTAAATTCAGGACACCAGCCGTGGCAGACCACAGCGGCAGAAGTATTTATCTTCCACAAGCTACTTTTGGCATATCCATTACTTGTGGGTTCTAAAACACAGCTGCATTTATTCTCTTATTCATTATCAACTAAAATATCACACAAAAACATAGAAAGACAGTTGTAATAAAGGGATGGACTAGAAGTTGAGACTTCGTATTGTGGTTTAAGTTTGGATGACAAGAGAATAACTAAAATTAAAAGTGATGGCATTTTACCAAGGAAATCAGAAGTCTCCTGCTAGGCAGAGGTGGGCTGTGAGTTATCACTGTGTCATGTGCAAATTACAGAAAACAAAGTTAAATAGATCCAAGCCAAGGGAAATCTTGTTACAATTTATTCTGGGAAAAGTAACAACCTATTGCTATCATTTCTTTTTAAATCTTAAACCTTGACCCAAAATTCTGACTCTGGATGGAAAAGATTGGAGCAGTTAGGGCACGAGATTTAAAGCACAGAGGGAGAAACCTCTCTGGTTGCAAACCATTGTCCACATGACCAACAGATATTCTACAAAAAGGAATGAAGTCAGGGATCAGTTATTTCTCTTTCTCCCTACCTGCCAGTTTCCTTAGAAGACTAAAGTCAGAGCAGTTGGCAGCACATGACAGGTAAATGAAACTAATTGAGAATCTGGCTGCAGTGCTAGAGCTAGGTCCCAGGAGAGCCCAGAGTGGCTGGACTAGGAAATCACAGCACCTCAGCAACACCTCAGTGAAGAGGGGATGGCCGAGAAGAGTTGTCACCAAGAAGTGGCTGGAGAAACTTTATAGCCTTAGGTGAAGATGCTTCTGGAATATGTGAAGGAAAGTCTCAGGACAAGATGAGGATCACGAATGAAAGATGAAAAGCATTTAGGTCTACAGAGTAAATGAAGAAGAATAAAGGACCAGGAAACTGCAAAACTGCACAGCTGTGACAGGACATACACTGGGAACCCGAACACATGGCTCCACTCACATGGGGAGGCTGCAGTGGAATACATCAGCCGTGGCTAGGAAGGATGAATAACTGCTTTCTTTGTCAGGACAAGGCACAAGGGAACCCATGACAAAATTTCCAGCTCAGCTGTATTATATTCTAAATATACTCTGTACCAGCATGCTGTGTCCCTGCTGGTCCTCCCAGACTGCTGCTGAAGGACCTAAAAACCTAGAGACTGCATTAGCTCATGGTTGCCACAGCAGGACTTCATAATGTTAGAGATAATTTTCTTTATAGTTTCATGCTGAATCCTCCTTGGAAGTGGCCTCATATACCTTCATTCTGCTGTACTGACATTCAACAGGCACATTTGATTGCATCACTCCCTTCGACAATCACACTTTACTTTTATGTCTTAGCTACTACCCTGTCTGAATTCAGGGCCACCAATTTGGAGAGAGAAATAACCACTTACAGTAGGCTGACACTTGACTTCAGAGGCTAGAGCAGTGAAAAGTTTAAAGAACAGTCACCATAACTGTACAAACACCTGTTTGGCAAGAGGTTTCTTCTGTGAGTCAGTGCAGGTGTAAAGATTTTATTACTCATGATCACACCTGTTGCCACATGTGAGCCAAAAATCAGGACTAGCTAGATGGAGCAAGAAAAATAAGTATAGGGCACGCTCTGCTCTCAGAGCAATATAAATCCAAAGTAACTTCAGTAAGCTCATCCAAATTATTTCAAACTGACATTATTACAGAAAAGTGCAGAATTCAGCAAAGCACAACAAAACACTGTTGAAAAATCTCTCATGAAAACCTTATGGAACTGTACTACTTCTTATAAATTTAAATATTATATATTGAATATTATATATGTGTGTGTATATATGAAATGGACACAGGGGATATAAGTAATTGTGTGGATGTCCTAACATACAAGGGTCAGGAACAAGTGTAGCTGGATTTAAGTTTTGCTTTTATCCCCAGGACTTGCAAGGCTTACCCTCATCAGTTTTTAAGGGGATTAAAAAAATCCAGATGTTATTTCACAAATATACACATGTAAAATAGCACAACTTACCCCCACAGATTTAGCTAAGCTCAGAGATCAGCAGGTTTTTCTCACTTTCTTCATGCATTGGTCTCATACCCCAAGGAAATCCTGGCAACTCTACAAAGTACCTCTTTTAACACAATCACTACATTCTTGAAGTAACAGCTATGACTGGGACAAAACTAAATTTATTTAATTTATATCTGCTGAAAGACTCCCACATGCATTAATTAGGGTTTAATTAGGCTAAATTAAGATCCCTTTGAACTGCTTGTATGATATAGGGACACTGTAATAGTGTAGCTCTGTGTCATCCAGAACAGGAGCTCCAGAAGCAAAGCTATTGAGATGCAAAATTAGGAACAACACATCTCCCACGAAGGGCCAAGTGTCAAAGCAAACTGCATAGCCACAATCATTCCAGATATCTGCAAAACACACTGGAACTATTTCTTCACTGTAAAAGACAATGTACTTACGTTGGCTCTTCTGAGACTGTTATGGTCTCTTCCATTTCATGGGCCTGTTTAAACCATGGCAATTTTGCTTCCACAGGACTTTTTTCTGGTAGAGGAAAAAAACCCCAAAACATTCAGTAATTGCTCCAAAACCAAAGCAATATGTAGATGTTAGCATTATTCCCCTTAGCACTTCACAATTTACATTGCCTGTTGATCTTTTGAATAAAGATATACTGGGTAAGAGAACAAAATTTACTAGAAAACTTCATTATATTGGAGTTCCATTCTTCATTTCAAATATGCAGAAATGGAGAAGAGAGATTGAAACCAGTTTGATAACAATTTAATGAGCTGCTGAGGCCCACTGAAAATGTTGATACATCTAATGAGAGCAAATAAACAGGATCCCAGGTGATATATATGGAGTTTCATTCCCATTTCAAGTATTATTGAACAACTCCACTTCCCCATGTTAAGCTCACTAATTCTGGTTTTCCCAATTTGACCAGACTGTATAGATTTAGTTAGCACATTCACCTCATGACAGTCTGGCCACATTATCAGCAAAAAATATCAGCAGGGCACTTTTCCTAGCACCAATAATTAAAGTGCTTGTTTCTGCCAAGACTGAAGTAAGTCCTAGTAAATTCCAGCTTCTGGCATTTCTGAAAAAAGGTTACTAGGGGCTTTTAATTCTCTGAACAAAAATGTCAAACAATAACAGAGCCAGACAAAATTCCAGTTACCTTTTGGCTTGTAACATGGTATTGGCACAATGCACTCTTCTTTTATGTGCAGTTTGAGCTGTGGATTGCAGCCCCCGATGTGCTGCCCACGGTGGTCAATACACAGCACCACTCGGTACCGCAGGCCTCGGCCACAGGTCACTGTGCACTGCAGGAGACAACACAACCAGCTCACGCTGTTTCTTTATTGTATTTACAAATACTCCTAAAAGGGAAGTTACAAGTACTGATGATGTGTTCACTAAAGTTTTTTCCACAGAGACAAATGAATGTAGCCTTGTGTCGCTAGGGGAATAAAGGAAAGGTTGTTGCTGGAAAAAAATGTCTAAGTCCTGCGTCGCTGGGGGAATAAAGGAAAAGTTGTTGCTGGAAAAAAATGTCTAAGTTTTGGGAATGCAAGTGATTTCTTGGGGGTCTGTAAAGCTTATCTGATTGGCAGCAGTCTGAAACAGAGGTGGCTATGTACTGAGGATACACTCTCTCAGTGGGGTCATTTTCAGTTAAAGCTGGGTCAGGTGTGCTGCAGTTTCTACACTCTGTGTCAGTGATGTCATTTGGATGAACTAAGGAATTACAGGAGTGTTGAGCTATCTGACTGTATCAGATAACTACAGCCAGGGTAAAAGTTGGCTTATGCTTCTGTTACTATAAGGAAAGGTAAGAATGCTGGAAAATCAGCCTTGCAGACTTGCCAGCCCCTAGGACAGACGTGCCTTTAGCTATTATACCCAGTGAAATGCTACATTTATCAAGAACTGAGACATGAATGACCTGATTGCAAAGGGGCCTGATCTGTCTCTAACTTCTCCACCATATAAGGCAGGAATTCAACAAGCATAAAGAATTCTACATGTATGTTTCTCCACATGGACACATTAACATTTTGATTATCAGACTTAATTGCTTAGTGTAAACTTCTCCTAGTAAGTACTATGAATTATCTTCCAGGGCTATACTTTTCTAATAGCCTTGTGCTCAAAAATACATGGCAAAACAGATCTAGAGGTTTCCTTTAGAAAACAAGAATAAAGGTCTAATTTACTTTTCAGCTTACCTGAGACCATTCCATTGCCACCCACTTAGGACAATCAAAGAGATTGCAGGTCTGAATGACTTTGGGCTTTGGGGCATACATGCATTTCCATTCTTCCACTTGGAGTATCTCTCCATGAATGGTCTCCTCTACACACACAAAACTTCTCCTCTGAATACCACCTCCACAGGAAACTGAACATGCAGTCCAAGGGTTATGTTCCCACCTGGAAAAAGAACTCAGATATATTAAAAAATAAGGCTCTTTTTTTATTCAACTAATTTTTCTTAAAGCTCTAATATACTGAATCCAACCTTAGTGTCAAAACTCACTGATAATTTGGTTGCAGGACTCTCACCACACACAAATACATTGAATCACAGGCCTATCTTGCATTATTCCAGGCTTTAAATCCATGTGCAAAATCAGAAGAAAAAACCTACAATTTTAAGCATATTTCCAAAAATAACTGAAAATCTTATTCTCATACAACCATTCAAGTCTGTGAATATAGCGAGTTTGATTACTGGATTTAATTTACTTGCAAATAGTCTAAATCACTTGGAGTATTTTTGACAGTTAATTTACATGGTCATGTAGACCCTTATTATCATTGTCAGAGGCCAAGAATCACATATACTTGAGACCCTATGAAGTCCAAAGACAGATCTGACAGTCCTGACTGAGGGTGTTATTACCCATAGTTGCTCATCACTGCCCACATCATTCAGACTACCCTTAAAACATCTGTTCAGGAAAGAATTTTTATGGGAACTCTAATATGTTGGGTAAACCCAGCCATATCATATCAAACTGCCTTCATCCATAAGGACTGTGCAGAAATTAAACTGTGACAGGTACCATTTGGCTGGTCATCACTTCAGTTCTGCAAGTTTTCCACTCTCATTAAAATGCTATTGAAGGACCTTGTATTCACACTTTCCAACTTGCTTGAAGCAAAATGCAGCTGCTCATCCATCTCAGCTGCTTCGGCTAACCTAGCTGATTTCCCCTGAAGCAGGGAAATGCACAGATTAAGGAAAATTCAAGATTAATAAAGCCCTGTCAACCAGCAGAGCTGTGGGATAGTAGCCTCCAAAAGAGGGACAATAAACAAAAATTCCTTCTGGGAAGGAATATCATCAAAATGGACATCTATCCACAATAAAGATGCACCATCTGAAGTGAAAATTACATGGAAGTTTTTAGGCTACAAACTCAGTTTCATTTATTTCTTGGCTTTAGCATAAATGTATATTTAAGCAATCACTTCTCAAATAAATGTAACTTCAATAATGTCCTGGTCCTGCCACATTTAGAAATATAAGCTTCTATCATAGCATTTGTCTGTAGGTTCCAATGACCCTCACAAAATTTTTCCTCACCCTGCACCTCTTATCTCTTGCTTTCCTTCCACCAAATCAAAGCCAAGCCCTGGGAAATGACTGAGCCCTGCTGCCCATTTTATGGTTCATCAATGGCTTTATAGTTTAAAGTTATTTCTGTTATAACTACAAGGGCTCAGAAAGGATCACAAAAATAATTACAACCATTAGGAACAATGGACTCAGCGAGTACTATAGTATCCCACCAAAATCAATTAGTCAAGAGTAATTTGGCTATCATAGAGGAAGTCATACTATCAGAGTCGATGAAGCAAGGGGCTATAAATCAAAGGTAAATTTAAGTAATTACTACATACTTTTTATGATACAGCAGGTAAATCAAGGATACTTCCTATTTTAAGCAATTCATTAAGCTGCCTACAAAACATATTAATCATGCTTAAGCTCAACAGAAGAATGAGCATGAACACAGCAAGCCATGGAACATTAGCCATAGAGTATATACTCAAAAGCATTCAGAATAAAGCTGTATGCTGCAATACTGATATCATAGCACAAGTAAAAAACACATTTGAGGAGCAACAGTTACACTGTTCTTTGACTTTAATGAATGGTCAGTGTTAAATCATTTCCTTAAAAAAAAAGTCAGGAATAAAAGAGCAATTTCTTTAAAAAAAGTCAGGAATAAAAGAGCAATTAACTATTTAATGAATTAGCAGCTCATGGATTTATATATGTAAGGCTCACTGTGCTGTATGTAATAGAAGCCTCACAAGTGTTTATAGCGTGAAGTTTTATAGTTGTTTTTCTTTATCTCATCGGTTTCAAACACACTCCAGATCCCATACTCCCACAAGCATTTTCAAGATGGAGTGAGGTCCATGGCTACTGGGGAAAAGGGGGGTCTTGGGCAAGCAGTCAAGGAGATACTTTCCAGAACCCACAGCTGTCAAGGGATCCTCAACAGTCCAACAAGTCTGAAATAAATGGAGGCATTCCAAAAGCTTTAAAAGAAAATTTTTATCCTGGGAAATTTTTCTATTTATTTCAAAAGAATTCTCCATCTGTAAAAATATTTCAGTGGGGCATTTACAACTCTAGCCACAGGAGAACTCTTTCAGGATCTTGTGGTGCACACCACGACTTTCCCACAACTTCCTCGTGTGAATGGGAAAGCAGTGCTAAACACCACAGGACTGCAAAGCAGCTCTCCACATGGCCCTTGGGTTATGTAGGAGGTGTGATGTAGGACTGCTGGTCAAGGTGAAGGAGTAGGTGCTCAAGCATATCCACAGGCCTTTGGTTTTCCGCCTGCTTTGCAAGGACAATCCTGAGTTGGCATGTAAGAAACAGGTAAGAAAAGAAAAAGCAAAAAGAAAAGGTGAATGAAGTCCAGAAGAACCAGCAGACTAAGTAAGGCATTCCAGCTACTTGACAGGCAACAACACAGACAAATCCTGCTACATTCAAGCAGGACTTGTGTCCACTCTGGACTGGAGTCACCTCATGCTGCAGGTGAACAATCTATCTGTTTTGGCTGCTGTTTGATTTTCAGAAATTCCTGCAAGAAAAAGTGTTTCTGTATCTTCATTGTGTTTCCTTAGGAGCCCTCCCAGTAGAACACAGCCTGTTTCCTCTCTCCTTCCTGCTGGCACCAACTCTGAGCCTTGCTTGGTGTCTGCTATTTTACAGTCCTCATTCTGAAGCATCACCCAGGAAGACCATGATACCTTCTGACAGGCCACACCGAGGTGCTGAAATGAGGTGGGCCTCTGCCTGTAGCTCTTAGTGTTTGAAATAAGAGAACCTGCCCACAGCTTTATCACAGACATAATCTATCTCACCACAGTGTCATGCAAACGTGCTGAGCACAGGAAAGCACAGAAAGGGGGATTAAATTTCTCTTCCAAGTGGTCTCCAAGCCCTGAGTGGTTAAGAAGATGAAATACTCATGTAAATACATTGTGCTGAGTTCCAGAAGAGATCTGAAGTACAAAGGAATTGGCAGAAGAAATGAAAAGGGAGAGACACAGAATATAATTAGAGACCTTTACAGGATAAAGCTGTAAGAGGAAAAAAAAATATCTCAATCTATGTGTGAAAGCCAAAGTACATCACAGGACAGCAGATCCACAAGGACAAATTGCAACAGAAATAAACTATGACATTTATATCAGCTGTAATCAGTAGCTCCACTGAGCCGTGCAAGTCTATGATTTCATTCTTATTACTTCATATCTTTACCTCTTTAGAAAAATACACATTATTCATTTCATGACATAATAGAGCAGAGGTTCAACTCAGATAAATATGCATTTAACTCCACCAACCATAATTCTTTACATTAACAGCAAATGTGGCTCAATGCTTTTTAGTCCTAACTTTCTAACATTCTTTACAAAACACCTAAAGCTTCCAGTGTTTTAAGTCCTTCTAATTGATTCAGGGTTAAAAATAAAAAAGCAACAAACTGTACTCTGATGACTTAATTTTAGGGAATAGATATTCAGACAACTCAGTATCTTGAAAGTGACATGTCAAGCTTTGATGCCAATAAATAGACTGTAGATCTAAAGATGAGCAGAAGAGATAGATCTCTCAAGGGAAAAATAATTTCTAGAGTCCTTTAGCATAGGGAGATCTGTTCTATAAAATCACATACATATTCAAAGCAAAAACCTTTCAAGTCAAGAATTCATACATGCATTTTAAGAAGATGCTCTTCTCAGCACTACAGCAGGAGAAGGCTTAGGGGGATGACTATTTTAAAGACTTCACATTGGTATTTTCAAGAAGAGCATATTAACTTCTTACTGTTAAACTAATCATCCAGAGCACACTGAAATAAATCACAGGCTTCAGAAATGTTTACAGGACTGTTATAAATTTGTTCTCCTCTATAGCAAAAAATCAGAAGATCTTCCATTATGTTAGTACTCAAATAGAACATTTGCAGTGAAAAGTGTGCTAATGCTGATACAGATGCTATCCTGATTATACATACCGAGGAAGTGGCTGGAAGTGATCATAGGGCATGATTTCTTTAAATCCATCACTGTCAAAAAAATAAATATTGCATCATTATTTCTCACACCCAAGACTGTACATCAAGTACATACTTCCATGTGATCATGCCTAAAGTAAGCAGTTCCCATCATGAAATGAAGGAATCTTACTTCATTTACGCATTAGCCTTACGGCAAACAATGACTCGTATAATCTTACCTTTTCTGCCTGGATATTCACTGTACAGTTTCTCTATTTCACATCACCATAAAACAATAAATGAACAAGCTTTCAGCAGAGAAATTTATTATCAGTGATCCTTTAGTGCTACTTTATTAACTAGAAAATATTTACATGCTTATATCTGTAACAAAGGCTGTTGAGGAACAGGAGTGTCAGTGAAATAAATGCATCACAGGATTTATCATAGATAGGTGCTGAATGGTGCCCAGAACCCTTCTGGAGCTGTTTATTTGAACCACACAGCACAGAGCAGGCATAAAGCCTTACTTTCCATACCAAGAAATATGGTATTAAATCCAGTAGTACTTCCTTTTTCCTGGCTGTATAAGGTAAATTTACAAGGTAAAATATAATTATGCCCTTT